AGAATATTAATGTAGGCGGTGCCGATAACGGGTATACCTAAAGATCATCTTCGAGGATTTAGGTAGGCACCGCCTGCTTTAATATTCTGTTTCTCACAAAATTATTGTTGTTTAGGGATTTATTACTATCATACAGGACAACAATTTACCAAAGTATGAAGCCAATCCCAGAACATTGACTTTTTGGGCTGGGGCGATTGAAAAAGAATCTCTCATATGCGCAAAATAAAAAATTTTTTGAAATGTTGATAAAATGGGGGTAATGACCCCAAAAATCTTTTTAAGTTACTTAAACCTAATTTTTTTCACATTTTCAATTTTTTTTTATCTTGCGCATACGTGTGTGTCTTAAAGAGTAAGACATGCGCTTTAATTTAAGCCTTTATAAAAGTCTCTATCACGTCAGGTTAAAGAAAAAAAAATACTGAAAACACTCAAAAACACGGTTTTTGGAGACTTTACCCCCACTTTATTCAAAATCCTGACGACGTAATTTTAGAACCCGGAATCATGTTCAGGACACAAAAATAAATTAGAAACCACTCTGATATCTCAAAAAATTTCCTTGTAGCCTTGTTGTGTTGGTGAGATAGACAAACAGACAGCGCTTATGAAAATTGCACTGAATTTAATCATAAATGTTCGAAATGTAGTCGGAACAAGAAAAAAAGACTTTAATCCCTTTAAATTAAAAATTTTGATAAAGCGGAAAGCTAATTTTTACAGACCTTTAAAAAAACTATGGCCAACTCCCCCGGACTTACCCTAGTATTAAAAATATTATTTAAAATCTAAATATTAAACTAAACAATAAAAGTACAATATTTATTTACAACATAAATTAAACACATATGAATAACTTTCTATATAATATAATTAAATTAAACCATGTAAATATAGCCTACATTGATAATTAATTCATTAATTACCCATAAAAAAAGTTTTGATGGAATTGCTCAAAAGTTGTTACTTTTGTATTTTTAGGATCACTGAATTATGAATATGATATTTGTTTCTAAAAATTTAAAATAGTTTTTAGGAATTCCTATAGACAAATTAGTGAATACTAAATTAAATTAATTCTTTGAAACAACTTATTAAATTTGTTAGAATAAATTATTTATTTGGATTTCTTAAAAATATAAAATTTAAAGATAATAATAAATTTAATACAATAATGATTTAAAATATAATATAAATAAATATGTATAAACTGAAATAAGTAAACAATAATAATTACAATTTTAACCAAGTGAATGTTAGCGAGAGAGGATATGATGCTAGTTTAGTACTAAAAAATAAGTTGTGCTAAATTAATTCTTAAAAATACAAAATTATAACACATTTATTAACACGTGTTTAGGAAGCGAAAAAAGATGTATTTCAAAAGAATATTTCCAGTGCAATAGGTTAATAATTATTTATATAAAAGCAACATTTTTCATTTATCTATAAATATTATTAATTATTATATAATTATATTGTAAATAATTAATATTGATTTGGACAACTAAAAGAACACATTTATGAGAATCACCCATATTTAAAAATTTTTCTCGAAAATAATGTATTTATTTACAGTTTTATATTAAATTAATAATTTATTAGTTAACCTAACAATTATTTCCAATAAATTATTATTAACATACAATTAATTGATTATTATTACTTATTATATTGTTAATAGTGGTTGTTAAAATAGAAAATAATAAATCACAATTTTTTTTATTTTACAGTTGTTTCCTGAAGAATTCTCCATGAATTATTAAAAAGAATAATTTTAATTATTGGCGAATTCAAATTAAAGTCGGTTGCGCGCCACTTCCAGTACAGTAATGTCAGCCAATCAACGCGCGGTGTTCAGTGTTCCACCACCTCCAGCGGCGAGCGTTATTTCAAGAATATTCTTAGCCAATCAACGCCCGGCATTCTGCGTTCCACCACCTCCAGCGTCGCGCGCAACTCTAGCGACACTTGTCGAGTCTTCATCCATTTAGTCCGCCATCAGCCACGTGCCAGCATCGTCCGGAATTTTTGGTGAGTTTTTCTCATTTTCTTTACCCAGATACCATCCCCTTTTCCAGGAAGTTAACCATGTAAAGTTCCTTACTTAACTCTGTTAACTTCCAGTTAAATTGCATGAATTTCTATATATCCCACTTTTTTCTTTCCTTTGTTAATTTTCTAGTATTTATCAATTATTTACTAGAAAAATGCAAAGGATTATTTGTAAAATATTAAAGTTTATGTTTTAAAGTTTGTAGTTTGATTTTTTTTTTAATTATGTAATTAAAGTGCTTTAAATAATTACTAGTGAATTTCCCCGAAAATAAAACTAAATTTTTGGTAAGTGGGACATTCTACTTGAAGCGGACAACCTCGATCCTGGTTTCTTTTTCAATATTATTATTTTTAAATATTATTAATTTATTAAAAATTTAGGAATAGAAGGAAAGTGGGTAAATATTTTTAATTAAATTTAATTTCTTTGGTGGCATTAAATTTAATACAAAATATATATCTTTTTTTCCTCCGTCTTGTAAATTTTTAATACATTAATAATATTTAAAAATAATAATATTAAAAAGAAGCAAGAGGTGGTTATCCTCGTCATCTAGAAAGCCCCAAATGTCATTTAATTAGTTTTAATATATAATATTATATAATATATAATTTTTAATTATATATAAAATATTTTTACATTTTTTTAATTAATATTTTTGTATGAATATTATGTAAAAAGGGGGAAAATGTCGAATAAATTAATTTTGTACTGATTGGTTATTCTGATGGAGAAACATTTTTTCTATCAAAATAACCAATAAATAAAAAATTAATTTATTCACCATTATCCCCGCTTTTTACTTTGCAGGTCACATATATGCAATTATATACTTCATAGTAATAATAAAAAAATTGTAATAATGAATAATACAAAAATATTAACTAAATAAATAATGTATAAAATATTAAATATATAAATAAATATTATTAGAAAGTTAGTTTTATTTTCGGGAAAATTGAAATTTAAATAAACATTTAAAGTACTCTAAGAACATAATTTTAAAGAAAAATTTAAATCTATATGCAATTTGTAAAACATAATACTTTAATATTTTAGAAATAATCCGCTGTACTTTTCAAGTAAATGTAAATTGATAAGTAGTAGAAGTAAACAAAAGAAAGGAAAAAAAGAGTGGGATATATAGACATTCATGAAAGTTAACTGGAAAAAGACAGAGTTAAAACCGGGACAGACCATGGTTAACCGAAAGAAAAGGGATCGGTAGAAGGGAAAGAAAGGGAAGAACTCCACCAAGAAGAAGGACAGTATGTACGTGGCTGAAAACGAAGGACAACAGAGAATAGGAGACAGCAGTACAGAAAGAAAAAAAACATATATTGAATAAAAATTTTATTACATCATAAAAACATATTTGTCGTCTTTTTCTTCTTCTTCTTCTCCTCCTTTCACAGCCACGTACATGCTGTCCTTTTTCTTGGTGGAGTTCTTCCCTTTCTTTCCCTTCTACCAGTCCCTTTTCTTTCGGTTAAACATGGTCAGTCCCGGTTATAACTCTGTCTTTTTCCAGTTAACTTTCATGAATGTCTATATATCCCCCCTTTTTTCGTTTCCTTTGTTTACTTCTACTACTTATCAATGTTCATTTACTTGAAAAATACAGAGGATTGTTTCTAAAATATTAAAGTCGTAAGTTTTGAAAGTTGCTTGTAGATTTAAATTTTTCTTTAAAATTATGTTCTTAGAGAGTACTTTAAATGTTTATTTACATTTCAATTTTCCCGAAAATAAAACTAACTTTCTAATAATATTTATTTATATATATTTAATATTTTATACATTATTTAATTAGTTAATATTTTCGTATCAATATTATACTTTATTACTTTTTATTATTATTACTATTTAATACAAAATTGCAAATTTGTGACCAGGACAGTGAAAAGAGGGCATTAGTGCGAAATAATTAATTTTTTATTGATTTGTAATTCAAATAGAAAAAAGTTTTCTCTATCAAAATAACCAATCAATAACAAATTAATTTTTTCTCACGTAACCACTCTTTTCACTGTCCAGGTCACATATATGCAATTATGTATTTCATTGTAATAATAAAAAAATAGTAATAATTAATAATATTGATAATAAAAAGAAGTTTTTTGGACAAAAACATCTTTTTATTATCAATATTTTAATGAGATTTTAAAAATTTTGTGAGTTATAATATTCATACAAAAATATTAATTAAAAAAATGTAAAAACATATTATTCAATTCAATTACATTTGAGGCTTTCTAGATGAAGAGGATAACCTCCTCTTGTTTCTTTTTCATATTATTACTTTTAAATATTATTAATTTATTAAAAATTCACAAAACGAAGGAAAATAGATATATATTTTATATTAAATTTAATGCCGTCAAAGAAATTAAATTTAATAGAAAATATTTATCCATTTTCCTTCGCTTAATATATTTCTAATAAATCAGTAATATTTAAAGCAATAATATTGAAAAACAAACAAGGATCGAGGTTGTTCTCTTCAATTAGAATGTCTTATTTACCAAAAGTTTAATTTTATTTTCGGGGAAATTCACAAGTAATAATTTAAAGTACTTAGATTACATAATTTAAAAAAAATTAAAACTACAAACTTTAAAACATAAACTTTAATATTTTACAAATAATCCTTTGCATTTTTCTAGTAAATAATTGATAAGTACTAGAAAAGATAACAAAGGAAAGAAAAAAGGGAGATATATACAAATTCATGCAATTTAACTGGAAGTTAACAGAGTTAAGTAAGGAACTTAACATGGTTAACTTCCTGGAAAAGGGGATGGTATCTGGGTATAGAAAATGAGAAAAACTCACCAAAAATTCCGGACGATGCTGGCACGTGGCTGATGGCGGACTAAATGGGTGAAGACGCGACAAGTGTCGCTGGAGTTGCGCGCGACGCTGGAGGTGGTGGAACGCAGAACGCCGAGCGTTGATAGGCTGAGAATATTCTTGAAGTGACGCTCTCCGCTGGAGGTGGTGGAACACAGAACGCCGGTCGTTAATTGGCTGACATTACTGTACTGGAAGTGGCGCGCAACCGATTTTAATTTGAATTCTCCGATAATTAAAATTTTTTTTACTTATAATTCATAAAGAATTTTTATTAAAATAAATTTTGTAATACGATTGATGGACGTCTCCGCTGCTCGTATGCACATTGAAAATGTCGTAAACCTCTTCTTCTTCAGTGAACAACTGCAAACAAAAAAAATATGATTAATTATTGTCTATTTCAACAACTATTATTAACAATATAATATGTAACAATAATCAGTTAACTGTATGTTTATAATAATTTTTTGGATATAATTGTTAGGTTAAATAATAAATTATAATTTAATATATAAAACTGTTTTAAAAACGTAAAATTATTTTTAAAAAATTTTTAATATTGGTGATTTTCCTAAATGTGTTATTTAAGTTGCCCTAATGAATATTATTAATTAATGTGGTGCTAAATAAGTATACAAAAAATTTTAAATTTTTTACGCAAAAGACCTTAAACTTTTAGAAAAAAAAATATTTTTATAAAAAAAATTATTTTTTAAACAATTGGTTTAAAAAATAAAATTTGTTTATACTTTTTAAACGTGTTCTCCCTCATTTTAAAGCGCGAAAAAAGTTATAGATATAGTTCTGAAAGGGTCTCACCCCCGATCTTAATGAAACTTGGTATACTAACGTATTTTTGTGCCCTAATTACAAAAATGATAGTAAAAATTGGCGCAAATGTGATTATCATAGTAAAAACCATAAAAAACACCATAAAATCATGGTTTTTTGCGATTATCTCGTAACAAACGCAAAAATTTGTGAAATGTTTCAAATAAAAGTTATAGGTCTCAAAAAACACACATTTTATGTTCTATGCATTTTTTACAAAAAGTGGTAATTCTTCTAGAAAAATCCAAAAAGCCATAAAACATTATGAAAAATAACGGAAAAAACAGTGAAAGTTTAAAAAACAGTGAATATGTAAAGGTGACCGTTTATATATATATATATGTATATATACATTAAGTGTACCATATACAAATAATGAATGTTAAATGAGTCGAAAAATTTGTCGCAAATGATTTGCCTTCACTTTTGGATTCCAATGACAATTTCGAAAATTATTGCGAAATAATCCAAAAAGTTTCTGTTTTCTAAGTGGCATAAAAACAAATATTTTTGATGTGAAGTACGTAAATTCAATAAAGCAGTCACACTGGAATACGAAAATGAAAGTAAATTCAACGAATCCTATACAATGAACAGAAAAAAAAATTAAACATGAGTACAGTGTCATCGATGGTGTCCATGACTAATCAATCATTTCCAAATAATTGTAATACCGAACTCGAGAAAAAAAATTATTGGACTTGATTGTTGTGTACATAAAAAAATCTAAAGAACTGAGTAACCCAGATTTATCGTATCGTATCGTCAAGACTAAATTGAAAATACAAAATTTAAAATCTAAATGAAATAGAGGAGTCAATGAACTTAGATGTAAACAGCACGTGGAAGTGAAATATTTTCAGAAAAATAGAATCACGAGTCTAATTTGGAATCGAATTTTTCCCAACTTTTTATTAAACATTCCAGAAGGGAAAATCCTTACTCTATAAAGAAAATGGAACCATTTATACAGAATTAGATCAAAGTTTCAGTATGTCTCAAAATGGTAACCAAATGTTAATGAACGGTATTGAACCTACGTCGTTTTCTGAAAATTCAATTTCTTTACACGTTCCCGATTATCATTATTAAAATGACGAACTCATAATAGGTTCTACTTTGGGACAAGCTTCTAGAGGTCTGATAAGCAGTTCGGTGAATATTCTACAAGAACATCAGGGGGAATAAATACACAGACTGATTACCAAACGAATCATTCTGTTGTTTTAAAAAATGTTCGAACCCATACTGAAACATTCAAATTTTCTCGAGTTAAACATTTAAATGCTTCGTTTGAGAGTCAAGATAAAGAATTAGCTTATGAAAATGTTTACATCATGAACAAAGCGAAGCAAGACGCATTTCACGCAATGCGTGCTCTTGGAGTCGAGATCGAAATAAACGTTGCAGATAAAATAAATATTCAATGTATTACCTCTGATACTGATAACATCGATGCTGAGCAAAATGATTTTTTACAATCTGAAGAAATTGAATTCGAAAAATTAGATGAAAACTTTACAAAAGGAGTCGATTCACATGGTTTAATAGAAAATTCAAATTCTGATCTTTTAATAGATTTTACAGTATTATCAACAGTGCAAGGTAATTTAGAATTGAGAGACTATACAGACTGTAAGATAAAATTGAATGAATCAAGTCCATTTACAATTGTTACCGATTCTACCGGAAAAGAAACTGTAGTTCTAAAATCGTCAATTTGTTGGCTCCTAAATGAGTTCTCAGAAAAATTGAGTAGCGATAGATAGTTGAGGGTACGCCAATCTGAGTATGAATCATATAAATCTAATGAGGTAAAACATTTTGCAGATTTCCTTGAAAAATGTGAGCAAATAAATATCGATGATTAGGCAATATTAACACGGATTAATAGTAACAAATTTCTTATTGGTCTTGTTTTTGGATTTGGATATTTAGGTGGTACAACGCGATAGACAAAAGAATATTCTTGTTCATATGCAAACATTAAAGGAAATCGAAGAGATATCGGCGTGTCATGTCAATGGTTTGGATTTACAAAAAGGGGATATTTATCATTAATAAACACTTTTGCACACGGGTATATAAATATTAATAAGTATAAGTGTAAAATATCTGCACCGATTATTACCAACGTGGGTTTAATATTTGCAGAAAAACTTTATGTCAAAATCAAGGACTTGATATAAAAAATGTTTCCGAATATTATTTTAATTCTCAAGATATTTCTTTATTTTTATATTATTTTTTTATTAAGATTTAATTTCAGAAACCTTGTTAAAAAATTTTGTTTTCTGATAAAAGTTAGAAGACTGAATATTATTGGCTGTTAATGAGAAGAGAAACAGTATTAAATTCATTAATTTATGAAAAGTTATATAAATGTAAATCATGACTTAAAAATTAAAATTACCATATAACGAGCTAGAAAAGTTAGGTTATAAAATTTCTAAGTTAGTCTTCCTCAAAAGTCAATTTTTAAATTTTCCCTACACTCCATAGTAAATTAAATATTGTATTATGTATAATGAGATTATAAATAATTAAACGTATCTTATAATTTTGGGTTAGAATTTCAATCAACTACAACACAATTTTCAGCATTATAAAAATGCATTGAAAATAGTATTCATCTATATTCTCATCTGTACATAGTATTTAACAAGGTTTATTTTTAAACTTATAAAATGCATTATTATCTATTAGATTGAATTATTTGTATTTTTAAAAATTTGGATACTTCAAATTAATCTTTTCATAAATTTTCTAAAAAATAATGACTGTTTAATATTTACCCCTAACTTTAGCAAAGTTGAAAAATTTATGGGTAAATAAAAAACAGTTGATTAGTGCGATTCAATGATACCTATATTTCCTACTACCCCATAAAATTGTTCCACGGATGTTAAATAACTTAATACACAAAAAACCAAAAGTATTGCGATTTAAAAGAAAAAACATACTGACCCTAAATAAGAAATAATTTATTTACAGAGTTTTTGAAACAAGGAGGAAGAATTTTTTCATTTTCCAAGAAAACAACCTTTCAAAAAAAATTACTTATAACTCATTTTCCAGTTAGTATGATTTAAAAAAAGTATTTTTACTTAAAGAAGTTCTCTCGCAAACAGAAATGACGAAGAGTTAATTATCAAACTTGATAAACTGATAGATAATGGTTTAAAGAAGATGTAGTTAAATTTTTAGAGGTCTAGGTGGATTTTGACAAAAGATATAAATAATTTTCTCTTTTCACATTTAACACGCGTTCTTATGGGAAATTAAATTTTTTGGTCTGAAATCTCAAATTGTGAAAAATCTGACGAAAAGATATTACTGGAACTTTATATACGAGAGATTCTTTTTCAATCGCCCCAGCCCAAAAAGTCAATGTTCTGGGATTGGCTTCATACTTTAGTAAATTGTTGTCCTATATGATAGTAATAAATCCCTAAAATATAAACTCATTAAAAAAATATTTGTAGAAAGTAGAGAGGGTTGAAGTTTTGACGTTAAGGGTAACATTGTCATTTTCAAATCCGTATAACTATGACAAAAGTTAATGGATTTTAATTTATCTATAATGAATTTTAATGCATTTTTCACGTAGTTTTCAAAAACGTATACAAAATTTAAAAAAAAAATTTTTGACCCCTTTTTTTCAAAATCAACCCTTATTTTTCGATTTTCACCCCTTCGGGTATTTTTTTTTTATTTTATTTTCATTGGAAAGCTGAGGTCTTTTCCCATGAGCTATGTAAATATGAAAATGGGACAACAATAATTTTGTGAGAAACAGAATATTAATGTAGGCGGTGCCGATAACGGGTATACCTAAAGATCATCTTCGAGGATTTAGGTAGGCACCGCCTGCTTTAATATTCTGTTTTTCACAAAATTATTGTTGTCCCATTTTCATATTTACATAGCTGATGGGAAAAAACCTCAGCTTTACAATGAAAATAAAAAAAAAATACCCGAAGGGGTGAAAATCTGAAAAATAAGGGTTGATTTTGAAAAAAAGGGGTCAAAAATTTTTTTTTTTAAATTTTGTATACATTTTTGAAAAGTACGTGAAAAATGCATTAAAATTCATTATAGATGAATTATAATCCATTAACTTTTGTCATAGTTATACGGATTTGAAAATGACAATGTTACCCTTAACGTCAAAACTTCAACCCCCTCTACTTTCTACAAATATTTTTTTAATGAGTTTATTTTATAGGGATTTATTACTATCATATAGGACAACAATTTACCAAATTATGAAGCCAATCCCAGAACATTGACTTTTTGGGCTGGGGCGATTGAAAAAGAATCTCTCATACATAAAGTTTAATAGCCAATGTTCACTTACTTTTAATAAAATTTATCAGACCTGGCTTAGGAGACTCACAATTAATAATTTTGTCTAAAAAAACACCGTATTTTGACAATCAGAAATTACTTAGCACAACGCTTGGCAACGTTGCGTCTTGTAGGTTAGGTATAGAAAAAGCGCGAAATTTGAAAGTAATATAAGCAGTATATACATATAATAGCATATTCTTCAAAGATTCATAATAATGAATAATAATTTGAATTTGCTTATAAAAAATTAAGATTTTTGAAATAATAAATTATTATTATTATTATTCAACGAAAATAAATAATCCAACGTTGCTAAGCGTTGAGCTAGTACTACGTGATACAAATGAAAACTTAAATGGGCATTGATCTGACTGACGTTGGAGGGGGAGAACTTCCTTAAAAGAAATGGTATTCAATGAAATAAATGAGAAAGAAATTATTTAGTTCGTTTTGAAACAAGGAGGAAGAATTTTTTCCTTTTCCAAGAATAGTATATTATGCATCAAGGGAGAAAAATGGTTGATTTCCACGTGTGTAATAAAACAAAATCAAATTCTTTATTTCTATCTATCAGTAACAACACCAGAAAAGACATAATTTTTGCTTAGTGACGTCACCGGGAGGGAAAGTAACTTTCCCTCCCGCTCGCCGGAAAAGACATACTTTTCTCCCACTACACAGGTAAGAAATGATGTACTTTCGGTGCGTGTGTTAGAAAAAACATTTTAAATAGTATATTGCGTACCAAGGGGAGAAACGCACTCTTTGCCGACGAGGGCGGCAAGTTACCCGAAGCGGCAAAGATGCGTCTCTCCGAGACACGTACTATACTTTTCACAACAACCCGATCAAAGACACACTTCTGGATAAAAATAATTTTATTTAATAATTATGTATATATCTGTTATACAAGGTTATATACCAATAAGTTAGTTACTTAGAGTTTCCGCTTCAGATAATTCTGGCGGTGTACACTGCCAGACATTGAATTAAATATCTATCTAGATTATACTTCTTTTAAACACTTAAAATAAGCCACAAAATCGCAAGTAAATATGTTCGTTATATATGAACACGTAAATATTAGAAACGCTGTCCTGTGAAAAATAAAGGTTAAGTTGATAGTTTCGTCTTCCCACTACAGAGAGCATATAGGTGCACAGAAAAAAACTGTACACATTTTTGCTGCTTATCATTTTGAGTAAATTATCAAAATGAGTAAACGGCAAACTTCACGTTACTCAAAATGAAACTGGTTAGTATCAAATGTCAGGTTATGCTAGATAAAATTGTTTACCACTATTATGTTGGTACTAACTGTGATATTCAAAATATTATTAAAGTTTTTATTTTCTATCGAAAAAAAATTTTATCACATTATTATTAAAGTTGTTCATAATAATAATAATAATAATTATTATTATTATTTACATTATAATATTATATTAATAATATTAATAATTATGAGTTAATTTATTTATCTAATAATATAAATTTATTTTTATATTAAATATATTATACATAAAAATTTTTAAATAATAAAAACTCAATTTTATAATATTATAATATTTTAAAATAATCATTTATTTTTTTCAAATAAAAAAAAGAACAACTTCTACTAAAAATTATAGATCCAAAGAAAAACTACATCAATCACATATATTTAATTTATAATTTTTTATTAGTTTTGTTACGTCTCAAATAGAGAAATAACTAAAGAAATAACATTTTATTTTATTTGTGGCCGCTCGGTGATTCAGTGAATTCCTGTTTCATTTAAAGAGCAGAAGGCTCTGAGCTAAGGGTACAGGAAAGAAAGAGAATAGTGATTTTTAATGACAAGGTTACAAATTTATTTAACTTTTAGAGTTATAAAATTGATCTTTGAGAGAGAGTATCCTGAAGCAACGATTCTTGAAATAAGGGGAAGTCAGCATTCTACTGCAACAAGGAATGTAAAAGGTTACTACAAATTTTTATGAGGAATTAGGAAGGATTTAGATAAAAAGTATTACAACTTACCTTGAAAATTTAGATGTAAGATGTATGAAAACGGACCACTGTTGTGCCCTAATTATGATAGGAACTTCTGGTGCCAGATATAGTTTGAGAGCTCACAGGAAGGTTGACGGGCCTTGGTGATGACCACAGGTCCGGAGTTCAGTTGATTGAATCAGCTCTTCTTGACGTAGAAACTTTTAACACTTGACACAGAGATTCTTCTAAGTCGAACTTGAGTATGAAATTGAGCAGAGTAACACCGCTTGTACTAGATTTCGTATGTGAACTGGTACCAAATATGAAGTAGAAGTAACGTGTATGATGAAAAGTTCTGAACTGGCAGATGTTATACGTATGAAGATGATTTGAGAACTGATCTCTCCATGAAAATGTAGTCCTTTTATACTGAGTTTTCGTAAGAGAATAGATAAATTTTATTGGTCGTACTATATATTTTTCACCCTTATTTTGGAAGCCGAAGTTGAGTCCTTCTATACTGAATATTCGTAAGAGAATAGTGCTATATATTTTTCACCCTTATTTTGGAAGCCAAAGTTGAGTCCTTCTCTCTTAGTTAAACGTAAAAAAGGGGGGTGTGAACCATTCTAATACAAGATAGAAAGAGCACGACTACGGTTATTCGCAGCTGTACAAGAGCGTTTATGGTCTTCTAATGTGGTGATACCACAGGGGTTCGTCGCATAGGAAAATTGGAAAGAGAGCATTTATTACATCGTCTGATTTTAGCACATAGGGAAAATTAGAAAGAGATCATTTTGTTTTGTGGGGGTGTGAGCTCTTCTAGTGTCATAAAAGATTTCTCGCTTCTATTTGTATGTTTTAGAAATACAGTATATAGACATAGAAGGATACAAAACGCAAGGGTCATTTATACATAAAAGAAAGATGTTTAGTCGCGCGACAATGGCGCGGGAGTTTTCATAAGAGAAAGGCATTTAAATGCGTAACAAAGCACGGGTGTTTGTCGCAGAGACATACAATTCGGTATGGATTAAAAGAATTCTTATAATTATGAATGTAAAAGTTACGGTGACGTGACAGTTTATTGATCACAAAACAGTGATTTTAAGAATCAAAATTTATTTGTTAAAATTTTTAAAGATAAATTTTTTTTATTTATTAATTAATGTGAAAAAAATTTAACACAATATCATTTTGTTTCGTAAACAATATTTTACTTTTAAATTTTTTAAATAAGGCGCCATTACCATTGGTTTTTTGACAATAGCGCTTTCTTTCTCTACTTCATGTTAACGCAGTTCGTATTACTGCCTGTCGTTTCATATGTTTCTTAACCTAAAACTTGATTTATTTTATTTTATAAATAATAATAAACTGACTTTAAGAATTAAAGTTTTTTTAGTTTAAAAGTGTTTATTTATGAAAAACAATTGTTTTAGTACTATTTTAAATTAAATAATCATTTGTTATTTATCTATAATTCATAGTTAAACATTTACTCAAAATGAAACTGACGTTGTTGATTTTGATATTTTTTCACTGAAAACTCAAAATGAATAAGAGCGTTATCATTTTTGCTGCATATCAAAATGAGTATGATTTCGTACTCATTTTGAGTACAGTTTTTTTCTGTGTGGCTATCTAACTAACCAATCAGAATGTCCAGATATTCTTTCCTCCCGCTACGTCATCAACTTTCCTCCCTAGAGAAGAAAATTGATTATCTAGCGGGAAGAAAGTGGACAAGTGAGATCTCGTCTGCCATTAGCTAATTTCGAAGCTCTACAGAGCTGTAGAAAGTGCAGTTTTCGTTAGGGGCTTTGTAAAAAAGTATTTTTTACCTAAAAAATCAGGAAAAGAAGCAGGCGCAAAGCGTCTACATTTAGTGTTTCGTGGCATTTTAAATGCAGATCAAAAGTCATTTATATGTATTAAATAATTTATAATTGGTGGTGGTCATAAAAACATTTGCTATTGAAAGGGTTGCTATGGTAACTGTATACCCGCGTACGACGGACGGACGCTAAAGCGAAACTATAAGGTTTTCGGCCCAGGGCCACTAAACCCTAAAAATGAGTAAATCTAGGCAGCCTAAAAACTTCTCGATTTAATCGTTGTTGTGTGGGTAATTATTTCAATAATGCTTAAATAATATACTTTTCATTTGAGATATAGAAAAAGAACATTATTTAAAATTTTTATACTAAATTGAAAAATGGAACAAACCTGGAATCTGATCCGTTTGCAGGACTAATGAGACCTGTCGGAGTACGTGGCCATAAACTGGAACTGTTTATCGGTGTGCCTACTTTCATTCACGAGATGCTGTTGTGTCAACTTGATATTGGTATATCACCAGTTGTTCTCACTGTTCTTCTTGGAATTCGACTTGGGAGTTGCAGAATAGTCTAAAAAAAATTTTTATCATCTTTTTCGTGTTTTTATTCCATTTTTTAGTTACATTTTTAACTCAGAAATTCTAAATATGTTTTAAATACATATATTATTTTTAATTTTATTTTTTAAGATCATTTATCATTTTTTCTTTCATTTACATATTTTGCATTTAAAGCGGTTCAACCACTTGTGTGTAACCTCAACCTAAAAATTGATTTTATCATCAAATGAATTATAAATAAAATTAATTTCACTAAATTTTTAAAAATCATGTAATCAATCAAGTAATTTTTTGAAAATAGTACAAAACTGAATCTTTTAAAATTTTGTAAAATTAAATTACATAACTGCTTTATTCGTTGTTAAAAATAACTTTGAGTTTATGTCAATAGATTGATCATCCTTAATAATTTTGCAATAATCTTAAGGTTATGTGACTGTTAAATCTGTAATTTCAATTTGTCCGTAACTTTTCTCGTAAAATAATAAATGGATTGATTTGAAATTTTATGGAGGTGTTCTAAATATAATAAGGAGTAGTTGTCAAGTGCGAAAATTTTGATATATTGTTAAATAATTATTATATAAAACAACAATTTTTTATCATATTTTAAATTCCTCCACAAAATTTCAGTTCGAATCCATTAAGCATTTTACGAGAAAAGTTACGAACAAATTAACATTACAGACCTAACAGTCACAAGACCTTAAATTTAATTTAAAAAAAAAATTTAATTATTATTCACCTTTTATTTTTGTTTATTTGTATTTTAAAAATAAAAAAACATTTCCACTACTTTGTACATAATTAAGAATAAAAAAATTTCTTTTGTTGTAATCAATGAAAGGTGAATAAAGAATTAAAATGTGTAAAATTTCTCATTACAACAAGAAAAAAAAACGATAAATATAATTTCAGAAAGTTAATACGAATCGATATAAAAAATTACATTTATTAAATAAAATGCAAATTACATATTACAGATTTTATTTTTATTTTGTAATGTTTCCTGTCATCTGTTGTTTCATATAGGGCATTTTATTTCAAAATGTACAAGCAAAAAAAAAAAAATTTTGAAATTAGAATATAAATTTTGTAATACTTTGTAGTGCCCTTTAATAGTCTTCAACCGTGGGTTATTTCTGTGCAAATAAAAAAAACATACACTGAAATAATGTTGGTGTAGCAGCTGCCCCAAACAAAAAATTTCTATATTTAAGGGGTTACACCACTTTGACCCGCCCAAAAAATACGCTTTTTCAGCAATTTTTATTAAAAAATAGAAATTTTTTTAAGAAAATTAAAATACAGTAGGGTATTATGTTACTCTTGAATTAAAAAAAAAATTTGTTGTGTTTTTTTCAAAAATGTAGGTCTGACAAATTATATGGCGGAGTGCTTCAAAAATGGATTGCCGTGCGGTGGGCACAATAACTCGGTCCAGAATTGAGCTACACTCTAAATCTAAATCAGTGAAAATTTCACTGAATTAAAATCAGTGTGAGCTCAGTTTTCTTTAATTCACCAGCGAAATTTCACTGGGAATCAGTAAAAACACTGATTTCAATTCAGTGAAATTTTCACTGATTCAGATTTAGAGTGTAGATAAAAAAAAGCATTAGTTTCTGCAACTCAAAATCTAGAGGAATACGTAGCCTAGAAAATTTAAATATTAATATTTCGAAAAATCCCTACGTATTCCTCTGGATAATTATATCACAAACAAAATAAAAAAAACTAAGAGGATCGCTTGAAATTTGTGGCAGCTAGAGTACCCACCGATTTTTCAAATGTAGTTTTGAGAGAAACGCGTTTAAAGTTTTCTTAATAGCTTGATCGTGATTAACAATGATAAAATTAAAAATTACCTGTAATCAGCTACGCCGGGTCCATATAGCATATCATTTCTATGCCTATAAGGCGTACTTTAATCAAAAAATTATTTTTAAGATTTTTTAAAACTTTCAAAGTGGTGTAAACCCTTAATTATAACTTCATACTTAATATTCACGTTGAGTTTCTATATAAGCGAAATTAACTGAAAATAGAAATTTTTTTGTTTGGGACAGCTGCTGCACCAAAATTTTGCTGCTGCACACTAGATTTAAACGATCTCGATTTTAAAAAATTCAATATATTCAGGAAAACCAAATTTTTCTTACAATAATCCTACAAAATTGATTAATTCATCTTTGGAATTTTCTATTCCCATTGTTATGACCATCAATTTAAGAATTTTCCTTTCTCGTTAAATGTAAATAAATCTTGGGTCACACAGGTGTCAAGGTAATAAAATTGAAAAATTGTTTCGACAAACAAATACTTGCAAATTACAATTATTCAAATATTATTACACGAATATTTTTATTTTTAAAATTTTCAAAATATATAAAACTAATATAATTTTTGCAATTATTATTATTATTATTTAGAAAAAATAAGTTTCTCCATAGTATTTAATTTTTAAAATAATATTAATAAACTTTATAAAAATAAATTAATATATAATATTTTAAAAATTTTTTGTAGGAAAACAATCGCCTTTAATTATTATATAAAAATATAATTCTGACCTTAGATCGCGACAAAAATTTTGCGGAATAACTCATTAATAGTATAAAAATTCGTTGTCATGTACCAGAGAATAAATTTTATATTTTTAAAAATAATTAATTAATTGATTTAATTATCTTTGAGATTTTCTGTTCCCATTGTTATGACCATTAATTCAAGACTTGTCCTTTGTATACTGCAACAAAAACAAATCTCGGGTCTCGCAGGTAACAAAGTAATAAAATTGAAAAATCGTTTAGACTACTAAATACTTAGAAATTATAATTTTTCAAATATGATTTTACGAATAGAATTGAAAATGGTAATCAGGTGACATCTATCGTAACTTTTTATTAACTTATTCTCACCTTATTTGTTAAGGTAGAAATTATAATAAATGACAGTCAATTTTTATATACGAAATCGTAAGACTTATTTCGTAAATAGTTTCTGAAAAAAGTAAATCGTAGTAGGGTAAGTGTACCAGTTACCGATGGTGCACCAATTATTGTTGATGGTCGTAATTGTCTTTTGTAGATAAATAGTACATTGTAGAAAATTTAAAAACACAAATAATTTGTAAATAAACCTTATATTTCCAATTAATATTTACCCCTTCAAATTTAATATCAATGACAGTATTCAAGAATGCAAGAATTTGCAATAAAATCGTCTGCCTAAGAAAAATTGAATTTTTTTGAAAAATTTTTTTTACGAAAATCGCATTAATGGTCATAAAATTGGTGTTCCTCTTCTCGGATCGGGCTGTCAATTTTTTCTACACTTTTAGGTGTATTTTGTGCAAGAAATTGCAATAAAATAGTCTGCCTAAGAAAAATTGAATTTTTTTGAAAATTTTTTTTTACGAAAATCGCATTAATGGTCATAAAATTGGTGTTCCTCTACTCGGATCGGATTGTCAAATTTTTTTCTACACTTTTAGGTGTATTTTGTGCAAGAAATTGCAATAAAATAGTCTGCCTAAGAAAAATTGAATTTTTTTGAAAATTTTTTTTTACGAAAATCGCATTAATGGTCATAAAATTGGTGTTCCTCTACTCGGATCGGGCTGTCAATTTTTTCTACACTTTTAGGTGTATTTTGTGCAAGAAATTGCAATAAAATAGTCTGCCTAAGAAAAATTGAATTTTTTTGAAAATTTTTTTTTACGAAAATCGCATTAATGGTCATAAAATTGGTGTTCCTCTACTCGGATCGGGCTGTCAATTTTTTCTACACTTTTAGGTGTATTTTGTGCAAGAAATTGCAATAAAATAGTCTGCCTAAGTAAAATTGAATTTTTTTGAAAAATTTTTTTTCGATAATCGCTTTAATGGTCATAAAAATGGTGTTCCTCTACTCGGATCGGGCTGTCAATTCTTTTCTACACTTTTAGGTGTATTTTGTGCAAGAAATTGCAATAAAATAGACTGCCTAAGAAAAATTGAATTTTTTTGAAAATATTTTTTTTTCGATAAACGCTTTAATGGTCATAATAGAGGTCTTCCTCTACTCGGATCGGGCTGTCAATTTTTTTCTACACTTTTAGGTGTATTTTGTGCAAGATATTGCAATAAAATAGTCTGCCTAAAAAAAATTGAATTTTTTTGAAAATTTTTTTTGGGCACTGAATTTTTTTGAAATTTTTTTTTTGACGAAAATCACTTTAATGGTCATAAAAATGGTGTTCCTCTACTCGGATCGGGCTGTCAATTCTTTTCTACACTTTTAGGTGTATTTTGTGCAAGAAATTGCAATAAAATAGACTGCCTAAGAAAAATTGAATTTTTTTGAAAATATTTTTTTTTCGATAAACGTTTTAATGGTCATAATAGAGGTCTTCCTCTACTCGGATCGGGCTGTCAATTTTTTTCTACACTTTTAGGTGTATTTTGTGCAGAAATTGCAATAAAATAGTATGCCTAAGAAAAATTGAATTTTTTTGAAAATTTTTTTTTGACGAAAATCGCTTTAATGGTCATAAAAATGATGTTCCTCTACTCGGATCGGGCTGTCAATTTTTTTTACACTTTTAGGTGTATTTTGTGCAAGAAATTGCAATAAAATAGTCTGCCTAATAAAAGTTGAACTTTTTTGAAAATTTTTTTTTGACGAAAATCGCTTTAATGGTCATAAAAATGGTGTTCCTCTACTCGGATCAGGCTGTCAATTTTTTTCTACACTTTTAGGTGTATTTTGTGCAAGAAATTGCAATAAAATAGTCTGCCTAAGAAAAATTGAATTTTTTTGAAAATTTTTTTTGGGCATTGAATTTTTTTGAAAATTTTTTTTTGACGAAAATCGCTTTAATGGTCATAAAAATGGTGTTCCTCTACTCGGATCGGGCTGTCAATTTTTTTCTACACTTTTAGGTGTATTTTGTGCAAGAAATTGCAATAAAATAGTCTGCCTAAGAAAAATTAAATTTTTTTGAGAATTTTTTTTTTCGATAAACGC